TGTAGTAAAAAGTTAATGGGGAGGAGATATACTTTGGGATGTAAAAGCCACAAGTAAGTATAACTAAAATATAGTCAATGTTGGCCAAGGGAAAACTCAAGGTATTTGCTTTGAAATATTCATTTTATTTTTCTAAAAATACCATTATTTACATGGCATTGTAACAGCATAAAGACTAAGAAAATCCCTCATCTGGGTCAGATCAATTTTTGAGCTTAGTATTGTATTTCTGAAATATTTATTTGTGGGGGTGTAATATGGAATTTACATGTTATGAGACCAGGTTTAATGGTATAGGAGCAATGAATGAAGCCAGTATGAAAAAATGTTGATAACTGTTAGATTTGGGGGTTGGGTATATGGGATTCATTATTCTGTTCTCTATAAGTTTATTAGAAATATTTAAAACTATTCGCAAAGAAAAATTAATTTTATTTAATGGCTTAGATGACCCCACTATCTGCTAATGAATCTCTTCCCCTCCTGAACCTACTTATATATCTAACCTTTGCAATTCTGGATGACCCTGAGTAAGAAGCATCACTTGTGCAGAAGAACAAATATTTTATTCTTCATCAATGGTCTCTTCCAGGTTTCAAAGGTATTCCCAGGTTATACTATACCTGTTTTCTGGGAGTCGGCAAACAAGTCTTTGTTCACCTTTCATATTTTTACAGACACTTTGTTGTGGCCCTTCTTAGCTCTAGTCTTTCTGATGGGGAAGCCCTAATCCTTTAAAATCCCCGTTCTCTGGCAGCAGGTCCCTCTGCTCAGTTATTGAAGTTGCCCTTCTCTGGACCTTTCTCAGCTCTGCTCTGACTTTCTTGAGCTGCAGTGACCAGAACTGATCCGCTCATGTTACATACAAGTATAAAGGACAACCACAAACAGAATTTCAATGAAGAGACTACTGGAAACCAAAGGAAATTGGAAGTTAACACTAAGAGAGATCATGGAGAAACAAATATAGTGTTAAAAAAATTGAATTACATTAGAAAAGATGAACATTAGCCTTATTGTAACAGCAGGGTGGAGTTGGGAGAAAACAAAATTTAATTCCAAGCTCCAAACCTCCAAGAGTGACCATCATATTAGGATAAAACCAAACTTATCACTGTGGCCGCCAGTCTGGCCCCTGTCTGTTTCTCCCATCTTGGCTCCATTCACTCTCACCTTGCTTAACTGGCTCCAGCCACACTGGCCTTCTTGCTGCTCTTGGGGCACACCATAACTCTCTGGGACTCCAGGGCCTTTGTCCTTGCTGTAGCCTCTACCTGGATTATACTGTCCCCCTCCAATCCCAGTCTCACATGCCTTGCTTCTGCACATCATTCAGCCCTCTGATCAAATGCCACTTCCTCAGGGAGACCTTCCCTGACCAGCCAATAACTCCCTCCATGGTTCTCCACCCCTTACCTGATTTATTGTGATCCTGCTCTGAACTTACAGTATGTAGTTTGCCTTTTTTCTTATCAGTGTCCCCCTTTAGAGTATAAGCTCTGTGAGGGAGAAGACTGTGCATTGGTAACTGCTGAATCCTCCTCACATCTAGATGAGTGCCCGACAGGGGTGAGTGCCAATAGTTATTAATACTTGTATGAATGAATGCATGCATGCACGCCTACCCCATTAAGAGGAGACATTCTGGGATCAAATTGTCTGGGCTCAAATTCTACTTCTGCCTTCAATGTCCTCTTGGGCAAGTTATTTGACTTCTGTGTATACAATTTCCTTATTTGTAAGATGGGGATAATAATGGTAGCCAGTCAGGGTTATCTTGAAAATTAAGTGAGACAACACATACAAGCTTAGGAAAGTGTTAAGCACAATACTTAGTGCCCAACAGATATTGGGAAGATTATGATAAAATGCCAAAAGGGGAAAAGAAAAGCAATACTGGCAGTCTTTCTTGAGTAGTAGGAATTTTCTATTAAAAGATGGAGTGTGGTGCTCCAGCGATTCTCCTCTACTCTGAAAAGGTGTGCTTCCAAGGACAGGGAATCAATTACAAGGAACACTTCCTACTGTGTGGGAGGTTATCTGAAAGTTTAAGAGACATAAAATTCACAACTGCAGTATGTTCCATTTCTCAAAGTAGCACCTTTGCATCGAGTATGTATTTAAAGTTTAATAGCAACATACAGAACATGCTCTCTAAAGCTCTGTGCCTAGTGCAAGTAAGAGGATAACACCATTCACGTTCTAAAGGTCTCACAAGGCAAAAAGGAAAATAATGATATTACTAGTTAGTCATAGCCATTAGTTCATATTCCCAGAGATTATTTTATTCTCTACAACAAAGAAAGAGGAAGTTCTTTTAAAAATATAATTATATATGTTTATTCTTCATTTTGAGAGTATATGATCTGTAATGGCCATAACTACCTGCGAAATTTTTAGCTTTTGGTAAGAATAGGGTCTTTTGTTTGTTTGTTGAAGTTGACCAGTGTAAAGTTGATCCTATTTGTTAATGCAAAGCCCGTTTAATAAATGCAAATCAAGTGAAAACATACAATCCTCCTAAGAATTAGGGTTATGCTCTGTAGTCCAACAGAGCAGCAGATGATGGTAATAAGTGAAGTGTTAGGCAAAATGAAGGCAGAGCGTTTCTGGACAGATGGCTTGGAAAGTGCCAGAAAGACTGTCTGGGTTGAGTGGTAGCTATGCAGAAACACCGTGGCTTGTTACTCCCCATCAGAGCTCACTGTGTCTTGTGCTTGACACTGAAGGTAAGAATTATTCCAACATATGGAGAAAACTTCTTTCTGAAATGTAACTGCTTTGACAGTCAAACATTATCGTGAATAAGAACAATTAGAGGACACTTAAAATTATTTTTAGGCAGCAGCAGTTCAGTGGGAACACTGTAAATTATAATGCTTGTTATTTAACGTTTAGATAGCTCTTTATGTGTCCTCTATAGGGGGGCCCAAGGGAGAAATTTCTTTAAAATGTAGTGACCTGTGAAGTTCTGTACTATTTAAGGAGAGGGTATGGATTTTTCCCTCTAATGATGTGAATTTAGTATATTATTATTTCCTTTTGTCCCCTCTTTGGCTCCCAGAAAGCTTGCTTATGGTTTGGCTATAGCAACTACATAGGCCCTTATGACCTGCTTATTCACGATTCTTTTTACTCCTGTGGTTTTGATTATCTGCTCTTATTATTTTTTACTGAATTTTAAAATTCTTTAAAAAATATTTTACTATTATTTTATTACATGTGGTGGTTTAAGCTGCCTCAAATCTTTCATAAATGAGATGAAGTTAGCTCAATTAAGTTGGGTAGTTTTCATAAACATAATTTCTCTTTATTGTCCTAATAGTCTGGAGAGGTAGACATTATCATCATTCACAATTTATAGATAGAAACTGAGACTCAAAATGTAAAAAACTTGTCCAAGATCTAAATATCACATAGTTTTCAGTTCTATGTTATGCTATTCTATTTCTCTAAAAAAAACACCCAAAAACCTTTTATTGCTGTAATATTTTCAGGTAAGAGTTAGTACTGAATTAACAATGGTGAACTTTGTTTTAAAGTGTCACATGAATGAGATAAAATAAAATACATTTAAATTACAAAAGGAAGAAGTTAGGCCAGTAGGACGTTTTATCAATAACTATATGTGAATATAGAATATTAGGCAGTTACAGAATTTTCTTTAATTTTATTATTCTTTTTTATTTTAAAGGAAAAGGTATCCAAGAAGGTTAAAATTTAGATAAAAGTTTTACTTAAAGGTAGGATTATTTGACCTCTACAAGATGAAAATGCTTTTTAAAAATCAGCCACCATGAGACGTTACAGACGACTCGTTACAGCCACCAGTGTAAGGAGATGGGCTTTGATCTCCTTTCTAAGGTCACCTGGCTGGCCCTAATCCTAGTGCCCTGGGCACCCTGCTGTGCTCAGTCCTGCAGGTAGGTGTGTTTCCTGGGCAATGAAGCCAATGAAAATGGCACAGCCTGGCCTTGAAACACAGGTGACAAAAAAATTCAAAGTCCACGAGAGCCAGAATCATAACCAGCTCATTTTCCCAGGCTTTTCTGCAGAGCACGGGCTCCTTCCTGCTTTATATCTGTGAGCCGGGAAAGCAGCAGCATACCCGGGCACACTAACTGTGCCTCACTGGTGGCAAAACAGGGGGAAAAAAACTCACAAAATAAAACCACACACACACAAAAACAAAAACCAAAAATCCCCACAAAATAAAAAATGAAAAGCCACATATAAATATAAATATGCTCATAACACAATTCATTAAGCATCACCACATGATATTATCCTATCATGCCTGCCTACTTCTAATTTCAGCAAAAAGTATAAAATTTCCATACATTTCTTTGTTAAGTACTGAGTTTAAAATGCTAATGCAAAATTGCCAACGACATTCTACGGTGATGTCAGGTTCAAATCCCGAGTTTGGAGAGTACATTCCCTCCCCCCCCACACACACACACACTTGAGGGAATAGTATATTGTTCTGAAAATTTCCCTAAAGGATTTTCAGGTCTGTGTAGATAATTTTGCTCTGTTAAGTCAGGAATGGATGATCTAGACAGTTTTGCTATCCTTTGACAGTTTCAATATTTCTGTACATCTAGACATGACTAATGAGAAGCCATGCAGGAGAAACGGGTCCAATTGTTGTGTGCCCAACATGCACTGGATGTGCTTTGAGATCACCTAGCTAGCAAGTTGCTGGGTAGGGATTTGAACCATGGGTGCCTCATTCCAAGAGTCATCATGATTTTGCTTTTACATTGTAAAGTTCCACAGAGAGGTGGAGAGTATATGCTAGTTCTAAGCATTCACATGCTAAAAGTCATCAACACCCTGAATTCTATGTATTTTATTGCCATCTCAATTTGTTTTATCAGCAGAGGCAGCTCCCTTTAGAATGAGCCCCCTTGGTACATGCTGGATAAGCGTGCAACATCCCATGGAACAGAAAATCTCATATCTCTATACTCTACGCATTGGCTTCTTTGACTTGCCTGGTGTGAAGAGGGCTCCTTCATATTTTCATCCAGGTCCACACCAACTCTGTGAAAGGAAACAGAAAACAGGTAAATGGCCTGCAGCAGATGGGATAAGACAGTCTTGTGTGTCAGATCATCTGATCTAAACACAATGTGAATCTGAAGAAAGATTTGGCAGAAAAGCATCCTACCTCTCCCTGAACCAAAAGAAACTCAAATAGGGTTACAGGAGAACTTGCACGGCTGGGCCTCAGAGCAGCTAGAGAAACTGAGCATTAACAGCAGTTCCTCAACACCGTCTTTCTCAACATGAGCAAGGTCCCCAAAACTCTGGGATCAGAATCATCAGGAAAAAGACCTTAATAACCCAGAAGACAGGGATCCTGGATGGACGGCAACCTGGTACCCCCACAGGACCCACTGACCAACTGCCCTGGGAATGCCTGGAGCAGGTTCCCCAAGGCAGAGGAAACTGGACCATTGTCTAGATGCTCAGCGAGGCTGCCTGTAGGGAGGATCCAGGTTGTGGGGGCTGAGGATTATACAATTTTGGGGCTGGGTCACTTTAAGGAAAATAATAAAGAAATACAAATACAAAATTGGGAGTAAAAGTGACTCTTTAGAAGGAGAAAAAAAATTACAAATTTTTTAAAGCTGGCAAATGCAAGAGACATCTCAAAATCTGGTAAAAAATAAAACACATGATGTTTTAATTACTGTCTGACACAACTCTAAAATAACTTTTTCCTCTGGAATTTTTGCCTGCATATTTTGATACTCTCTTTATATGATAATGAGTTTGCATTAGAGAGAACAGAGAGATAAGGTAGTCTTTCCTCTAGCAAGATTGATCAAAATTATTGATAGTTGGAAGGCATTAAAACATGCTTCTTTACGCACAGACATGCCTGCTGTGTGCAGTGCTGCTACAGGGTAATGTCCTGCAAATGCAAGAGTTTTGATAAATTTTATTTTGTGCAATTCCCGTAAGTAACGCGCAGGGTTCTTATCAGTGTACGTGTTTTGTCTCTGAATATATTCCCGAATTTCCATTTTGTCGAGGCATCAATGAAAACTGCATTTTTACACATCTCATGATTGGAAGAATTTTCCACAGAGTCGCTTCTGGCTCAGTACATTTCAAACCTTGTTTTTCTTCCACTACCCACAGACTTCTGATGGCAGGCACCATAGGACACGTCTGGATTTAATTCAGCCTCGTGCGTTGCTCCTGTAGACCATTCCTACCCCAGGATGGACAGCAGTGACGGACCCACGCACAGAAGTGACTGTGGCCCACACAAAGGTATCCCACTCAGTCTGAGCTCAATGCATTCCCAATTCAGCTTCCCCTTAGCTGGACCCCCCAAATGCCCACTGCCACTCCAGTGCCAACTCAGCAGAGAAGTCTGAGGGAGGGGAAGCAGTAGTGGAAAGAAACAGCAGTCGAACCCAACTGTGTTGAAAATATATTCCTTTTGCAAATCTTACGAAAACACAGGACCATGGGAACACAGTGCTGGGACTCTTCCCAGGGCCTTGGAAGGACCAGAGCAAGTGAGGGGCCCTGAAACTCAAACTTCCTCTGCCTCCAGGGAATGTACCTCTGCTAGGGGGGTGGGAGGGACTTTGTTTCAACTCTGGCCCCTCGTAAACACTTCTGTGATCATCTTCCAGGCCTGCTCTCGGGCTGGGGGAGACAAGGCAGCCTGAGAAGCTTCTCATCAGGCAAATTTGCATTTTTCAAAGGAGAGCAGTAACAGTGATGATGCCGCTTGTTTAAAATACCTCTGATTCTTTAAAAATTAGTGTCCTCTGGGCACGAATAGCCCCATCTCCCTAACCAAGGGGGCAAATGAATAGCTATTGATCCTAGGCTGAACTTTTGGCCTTCAGGTAATTGGGAAGGGCCTTTGGAGGGCCCTAAGCTTTGATTCTTGGAGTGGAAAAAGTTATTTGATCTATTTCATTTAAGGAGGAGGAGGAGCAAGAAGGGCAAGGGGAAGAGAGAGGGAAGAGGGCCAGGGATGGGGAAGAAAAACAGAGTGAGAGGGAAGGAGCCGAAGAATGGAGAAGGGGAGGGGAAAAGGGGAGTTAAGGTGAGGCCTCCCTGTGGGTCCAGTCCAGGTCCTGGCCTTGGCATGGGGTGGCCTGAGTATGACAGTGAGGACCACGTGCAGAGGGCCCCCCCTTCCTGGTGGGGACGGCTACCCTCCCTGCTATTTGGTGGAGCTGAGCTCTCTGGTGGTCTGCCAGCCCCCTAAAGGGTGGATTTTATCACTGGACAAGCCTGGATCTTTCCTCCCCACCCCCAAGGACTACGAGGCACCCAAGTAGGCTGTGAATTGAACTGAGGATCATGAAACTCCTACTGCTGCATCTATTTAGGGCCTTTCTCTAGGTCTCTGTCTAAAAAACACTAGAGAGAACAAAAATCAAATTTTATAAGAAACCCCAAAAGTTTTAGGCAGTGCTGAGGTTTCCTACTAAAATTTAAGCTTTCCTTCCCAGCAGCAATCAAAGCAGACATTTCTAGGCAGCCAGATGGAACTGAGGAGACGGCAGTGGATTGAGTTCTTCAGTTTGAGGTGGGATTCCATGAAAAGCATCTCCGAGGCCTGACTGGGAACAGGGCCCCACCTCCTCCCATACCCCATTGCAGGGCAGGTCGAGAGCCAAATGAGGACCTCCGCTGGCTTGAGGAAAGAGAATTTCTGTGAAAGTCACTTGCCTGCTGGGGAAGCCAGAGTGGTCAAAACAGACATGGTCCCTGCCCACCCAGGGCAGAGAGTTCAGGAGGGTCCATGAGAATAAAATTAAAAAAAAAAAAAAACATACTGCAGTGTAAGTGCTGGGAAGGAAAGGCACATAAGAACGATGCCTTCTTTCACATGTAATGTTAGCTACTTTTGATAAAATCTTGCTAAAATATGTTGCTTGGCTCCCTGCCTCCTTAAACAGAGTGTGATGGGGATACTCTAAGCTTAAATGGAAGTCTCAGCATCACCACTGGCCCCATAAAGTCTAACATTTGCTGTATTATAATGATTTCTGAGAGGTGTATGAACCTTTTTATGACCACATTAAATGGTCCCTGGCTACTATTATTTTTCTTTTTAAAATTCTTGTATCTGCCAGTTAGAGTGCCTTGAATTTTCCTGGCTGTGACAATACGTTAATATATTATCCCTATGCTCCATCCCTTTTAATTTATTTTAGGACAAATGACCTGATAGTCAAATTTAATGTATTTTTTTTCTTTTCAGGTTTATAACATATATACACATATATACACACATGCATATATACAAAATAACAGAATCCAAACATTTTTAGAAGGGCTTATAGTAACGCACAGTTGTTCTTTGCCTCACCTCTGCATACCCTCAGACCAACTCCCCCATTGCCTGTGAGGACAATTTGCTGATTTTTAAAAATTGTGATCTGTAAGTTGGCATAGACATGCGTGGGACATTCACACAACATCCCCAAGGGTATGCAAACATGCTGGCTGCATCTGTATCTCTTACTTTCCCATTCAAGAAGCAAGTCAGAGTGTGAAGGTGACATTATTTTAGGGCTAACCTTGCATCCATTCACTTTTATGCCTAAAAGATTATTTATATACTATGGTTTTGAGATTGTTAGAAAGAGGACATGTCACCCTATCTTATGGCATCACATGTGTATACAGCAGCTCCCAGGTGAGATCACAGGTGTATAAAATGAAGTCCACCCTCCTTAGGTGATATCCAAGGCTATTTTGTACCTCTCCCTCAGTGTTAAGTTACCCTTTTTGCTCATCTGATCAGGACATAGTGTCTTTGGCCTTATGACTGGACTTGTCCTTGTTTCTGAGACCCAGTTCCCAATATTGGGTACTGTCCCTGAACTCAGGCTGTGTCCTGCCCTGGTCTGCCAATGCCTCCTCCATGAACTGAGGCCCCCTCTCCAAACTCCAGGCTGTTTGGGGCCATATTGATCAACACTGGACATCTGTGATGCTCTCTGTCCCCTCTCCTGAACTACCAAGTACTGTCCTTCCCTTCTGAATACCACCTGAGCCCGCCCACCAGGATGCCCTTTCTGGGTCTCAGATCTCCTGTTAAAGTTTCTACTGACTTGGACTGAAGTAGCTGTATTCCTCTAACTTTGTTCTCTGCTCCCAGGTAGAACGCCTTCTTGTGGGTACCTGAGATCACCTTGCTCTGTCTGTGGCAACCCTGGCCCAGCCTTCGTTCACCTGTCTGGTTATACCCATTCATGCGGGGCAAGCCAGTGCTCTACATTATACACCAGCCCTGGTGGAACCTGAAGATGTCAAGACTACCCTGAGGTTGAAGGGTCAGTGAACTCCAGCTGTGAAAAGGGTGGTCTGGGCTCAGACTGCTTGGGTTGAGAAATGGGGCTCTGCCTCTCTCACTTGCTCTGTGACGCGTATCACTCACTGTGTCTCTGTCTTGATTTTCTCACCAATATAATGGGAATAATAATAGAAGCTACTTCACAGGGTTGTGGTGAGGATTCTATGGGAAAATATTTGTAAAGCGTTTAGCTTAAGACCCATTACATACCATCTCTTAAGAAATGTTAGCAGTTACTGTCAAATTATTATTTTTGTTACTATCAGTTCTTTTTGTCATGGTGCCAGAGCTCAGTTGCTCATTAATTTCAGAGATAAACCCTCCTAATCCTTGGATCTGCATTGGGCAACCACTGAATAAATAGCAACAGTCACCACTGAGCACAGAGTGTGGCCAGTACATGGGGGAGGGGGTTCTGGGCTCATAGTAAAACATCATTTCTATGGGGAGGGCCAAGCTTCCCTGACTGGGATTTATCTTTAATTTATTGGTAGTGGGGGTGAGAACACAACATAAAAGGAAAAGCAGATGATCTGAAGAGCAAGAGAAAGGAAGGAAGAGAATAGAGCTGAGCAGAAAGAAAAGGAAGGTGAGAAGGAAATATTAATACTAAGGAGAGACAGGAATGCAGTATGACAATGAATCAGACTAGGGGTAGATAAATAGCTACAAAGGTGCATGCAGCTGTAGAAAAGGTAAA